TTGTCTCATTTGTAATCATACTACATCTTCTTAGCTTCATATTATAACACTTTCTATGATTTTCCTTATCACACATCTATCAGCTTAGATCCATAAATTCGAAATGCAACCTTATTAAGTATATTAAACAGTATGGTCGCCTTTTTTCATGACGTCACAATAGGAATTTCAGAAAAAAACCAAGAAAATTTGACGACATAATTAAATTTCGACTAATCATTTGCAGAGAACAGTTATTTCACTAGTGAAGAAATCAATTTTTTCACAATTGGTTGGGAAATGGGAAAATAGTGCAAAAATTAGAGAATACCTGTTCCTGTTGGAACACATATTCTATACTTTTTATTTCGTAAAGAACAAAACTAATACTGTGAAATGTATCCAAGAATATTTCTTCACTTTGGAACTAAATTATAAACAGCACAAACCGCACTATGTCTAGCAAAGACAATCATATCAAGAGCTAAATACTATACGTGTAAAGATAAGAATTATGGTACGATTGCCAATGAGATAGCATTCCATTAATGACCAAAGGGCAAAAATCTGTTACAGGTTATTGTTTGGCCTTCAATATTTAGAAAACCACACATAATATTGTAAGCTATAAACGGACCCAGAATAACATAATGTGAAACAATTAAAAAAAATAATGGCCTAATTTATACTAAATCAATTACAAACGAAAAACAATCATTACATACGACAATCAACGACTGCCATTGGATTCCTTAATTGCGGCTGTTTAACATGCTAGTAAACGCCTAATCCTACCAAACATTGGAAAGAAGTGGTTATAGAAACAAAGAGATATTGGGGATTCAGGGGATATTGACCCTAATACTTTTCTCATAAGGAACCTTGTCTATCTTTAAAGTATTACATTTGTTTCGTATTACATGTCTAGGATACAATTTCAATACTTTTAATGTCGGTACGGATATCAGGCATTAAGATATCAGGCATTTTATGCACCCGCCGTAGTGACGCTAGTGAGGTAATTGCCTTAACTCATAGTAGAACAAGCAGATCAAAAACACCTGTTAAACATCTGAAAAAGGGACAGCTCTTTTTATCAACAAGTATTTCAATGAAAGTATTTTATTTGTGTAATTCTATTGCGAGTTGGATGTGTCAAACTTTTGTATACAGTGATAATGCGATTTCAAAACAGATTGATAACATGCAGGAGGAGAAAACAGTGGTAATCGCCTAATCTGATAAGATAATAGCGATAACAATGTAAGTGACGTCAACACATGACATAAATAGTTTCATTTAAGTTCATTACATTATTCTACCATAATCTGTAGAGGAACCTCTGTACACCTAACCACAAATCCTCTTTTACTATAGAAAATAAGTAATGAGTTTATTATGGCGTTCATTATCACTGAACTAGTATATATATTTGTTTAGGGGCCAGCTGAAGGACGCCTCCGGGTGCGGGAATTTCTCGCTACATTGAAAACCTGTTGGTGACCTTCTGCTGTTGTCTGTTCTATGGTCGGGTTGTTGTCTCTTTGACACATTCCCCATTTCCATTCTCAATTTTAATCACTGTTTTTTATGGGATTAATTTAGTTTTTGTTTGTAACTTGATTTGTCTTCTTAATCGATTTATGACATTTGAACATTGGTAAACTACTGATGCCCTAATATATACAAATCTCTTTTCTATAACAACAAATGTCAACGTATATTTGTTTCACTTTATAGAAGTTTCTCTGCAAATCTTGTAATAAACAATGCTATGATATATCTTCCTTTCGAAATAAATTTTCATTACCCTTAATTCCGTTAGGCACAAAGATTGCAATTTTTTTTTTCAGTAATAATAGCATTCCATGAGATTTCTTCCGTTTGGAACTACTATTATAAATGAATTTTTATTCCATGACATGAAAAAAAAATGTCTATCCCACAGACAATTATATCAAGAGCTTGATACGATACATATAAAGATAAACTACGATTGTCTATGAGACAACTATCCATCATTAATGACCAAAGGATAAATGTGCGTTACCGGTCATTGTACGGCCTTCAACTATGAATATAACCAATATAGAATAGTAGGCCTAATTCATACTACAACAATTATAAAGGAAAAACCATTATGACAGACAGAAATTAACGACAACAACTCGATTGCATGAGTTTGGCTGTTCACCATGTCCATGAGCGCTTAAAACTCCCAAACAATGGGGACAGTGATTAAATGAATTTGGCTGTTCACCATGTCCGTGAGCACTTGACACTCCCTAACAGTGTGGACAGTGGTTTAACAAAAACAAATATGAACGCTGTAAAAATCAGTTGGAAAGGGCATGGAATTGTTTACGTTTTGTCACGCCGTGATCTTTTAAAGCTTACTATATAGTATGGGTTTTGCTTTTTGTTAAAGACCGTAGAATGACCTATAAATGTTTAAATACACGTCATATAGTTAGTTGTTGAAAGTTTTCCCATTGGCAGTCTGAGAGAAGCCTGAATTTGTGCAAATCTATAATATAGTATCGACAGATTGTAAGAGCATGCAATACACGTTCAGTACGATCTTAAACTATTATGAATAAAAATGATAGAACCGACAAAGAGCATTTTCAATTATCGTGCTACTATATTGTAATTATATTGATAACTTTGAAGCGTTAGTTTACTCCAAGGAATATATGAATTATGTCTTAACTACGTACTCTAGATCAATATCACTGATATATATATATATATATTTATATAGCAATATGCTATTCTGCTTGCAATCCGATTTCGTCAGTTCACCCCCAAAACTAAAAAGATTTTTTTGTGATGTGTAGAGAGTCATTACTGTCAATCGATTTGAAAAGACCATTAAAAGCACGTAATTTTATCTAAAATATGCGAAGATTTTTTTCACACTAATAAAAGATTAATTTCAAAATGTTTATATGCTTTATTACAAAAAAATTAAGTAAATCAAATTTATAGTAGTAAGGGAACTAGTTTAAAGGACAGAGAAAAGTAAAAAAAAAAAAAAACAACTGTCATATTTCTGACTTGGTACATACATTTCCTTATGTAGAAAATGGTGGATTAAACCTGGTTTTATAGATAGATATTATAGATTTATGATAGTCGCAGAGAATTGCATTATATTGACAACAATGTGTGAGCAAAACAAATAGATATAGCACTAACTTTGACCTATAATTGTTTACTTTTTACACAATGTGACTTGGAAGGATAGTTGTCTTAAAGGCACTCATACCACATCTTCTTATTTAAATATAATAGGTAAAATTGTCAAAAATTAGGTTACAGCAGTCAACATTGTGATATAATCTTAATCACTATAAACACAAATAACTATTTCAATAAAGAAAAAACAAAATGGCATATAGACACTCTATAGACAAAGTACATAAGCAGAAATGAAAGACAAGAATACAAAAAAAATGTGAGTTGTGGAACACTTATTACAATGATTAATCATGTTTGAAGCATTTGTAAGCACATTTGGCTATTTCATGGCTGTCACATTTTATTAGAGGAGGAAGCAGGGGTTTCCAGAGAGAACCACTGACCTTCAACAGGAAAACTGTCAATCCTAATGACCTTGCAATGTGCAGGATTCAAACCCAAACACTCAGTGTTGACAGAACACTTATTAGAAGTCGAGATTTAAATAATATTTGACGGAGTTTGTAGCCAATACATGATATAGACCATCAAATGTTAAAAAGAGGCCTCAAACTAAGATGTGGTAAACATAATGTATACTAGTATATAGACATTTATGAAATACTTATTAGAAGTTGTGGTGATGTAAGGCATATCCAATACTGTGTTAATGGAATACGAACAAATATGTTATAATTAGAACAGTCAGTTCATAATATGATTAGTTTATCTTAAAAAGCATATCTATCTGCAAGTAATATATAACTGACGTTTTCTTTTGGTCACAGCAGGACAGGTTTGCTTCAGCCAAATCATTTTTGTCAAAGTGGATGATTGCTGTCTATTATATTTGTCTTTCGTGTGTTCATTTGTAAATTGATCATGCCATTTGTTTTCTCGTTTGAATTGTTTTCAAATTTTTTCATGTCGGTCCTTTTATAACTTGCTAACCGGTGTGGGTTTTGCTTATTGTTGAAGGCCTTGCGGTGGCCTATTTATTGCTTGCATCTACGTCATTTGGTTTGTGGTAGATAGTTGTCTCATTAATACCACATCTTCTTATTTTTATATAGAAAAATCATGCTTTGCAAGCCCATACCTAAGAGTCTCCCATTGATACATTGAAATATACAAGAACTTATGTATACAGTTGAGACTTATGAGTTTGAATGTCCCTTTTGTATCTTTCGCCTCTCTTCATTAAAGAATTTACCTCTAACTGCATTTACAAGTGGAGTGGTTCCTAGAATTTACCTCTTACTGCATTTACGAGTGGATTTTACCTCTAACTGCATTTACGAGTGGACTGGTTCCTAGTATTTACCTCTAACTGCATTTACGAGTGGACTGGTTCCTAGAATTTACCTCTAACTGCATTAACGTGTGAACTGGTTCCTAGAACTTGCCTCTAACTGCATTTACGAGTGAACTGTTTCCTAGAACTTATCTGTAACTGCATTTACGAGTGGACTGGTTCCTAGAATTTACCTCTATCTGCATTTACTTCTGATCAAGCAGCAAGAAGACATGTCATTCTATTTCAATTTGATAAATATGATGTTGTCTGCTCTTTGGTCGGCTTGTTGCCTCTTTGACATATTCCCCATTTCCATACTCAATTTTATTTACTATTAAAAAGAGTTTCAACAAGGGATCTATAGTCATCCCAAGTATTTAAATCTTCATTTGAAATCAAAATTACCCAAGTGTTGTACTTAATTACAAACAAACAGCTAATCGTGTAACCTATTTTGTTTAAAATATGTACCAGTTTCGTATATGTTCTTTCTAACCGTGCCCGAATTAGTGGTTCTTCACATAAAATAGACACAACTTACCTTCAGACAAACAATGAGACGTGTGATCGGTACTAGCGTACTGAGAATTATATAGTCTTTCTAACTTCTCTCGTTTTAGATATGATTCATTATTCCAATTGCATTTATATATTATGTTTTGTAAATTATGATCAATGCTTGTCGTGTCGTCTTCGTTTTTACGACAGTTGCAACTTCTGATTTAGGATTACAACTGTCACGTGAAAACTGTCAATATATAAATTCTTTGATATCAGGTGGCATATTTTTATGCGATGAAAACTGTCAAACTTTGTCAGCATTATATATATATTGATATTCAGATGTACGTGTCTCGCAGATGTTCATACTGGTTTATATAGATTTGTTACATGATTCTGTACATAAATATCATATGTTATTTTTTTCATTCTATGTATGACAGAAATGAAATTTGACTGTTTTAATCCAACTAAATAGATATGCTGGTTACCCGTAAAACTCCGTATTTTTTAAAACAATCAATAAAAGCAACGATTTAATTGCTTTTTCTCTTTTAGATTTGAGAATTTCTATTTTGATGTCCTTGCACCTAGTATAAATGTCGGAAAGATACAAGGCTGGATTTTTATATTTGTATGACAAACAAATATCAATAGTTCGATGTATTGCGACCATTATAGTATTGGAACAAAACAGTTGCTTTCAAATATCGTCAAAAACGCACAAAAACGTTTCACTTTGTGGTGTTAACCTCGCCTGATTCTGTAAGCTGAAACATACAATTCAAGAATCTTAATTATTCTTAGTCTGAAACCATTCATTCAGGTTTCAAATAGTTTGTTAGCTTATGTGTCCTTAACTTTTATATTTGAATAAATATTGACATGACGTTTACATGTTCATCGGGTGTCATGTAAAGATTAAATAAAAGTTGAACAATGAAAGAAATCAAAGAGAAAAGACAAAAAGATAACATTCAATCGAATGAATTATATAAAAAAAAAAAAAAATAAGCAATACGAATCCCGATGGAGAGCAGGATCCTCACTGACATGCTTATTTACATGATACATGTTGTGTATCTATTTTTATTTATAAAATCATATTTACTAAATAAAATGGTTTGTTGGCGGTTTATGGAATATCTGTTTCACAGATGACGCCGGATATGTTCCAATTGTCTGTTATGGCGTTGTTACTTATTTTCGATTGATGAGTTTGAATGTCCTTTTGGTCTTTTGCCTCTCTTTTGCAGGAACTATTTTGATATCTAAATTCCTAGTATAATAGCAGTGATGTAAGCTATAACATGAAGAAGCTCAGTTTTCTAATTATAAGGAATTTAAACGGTAATTACATTGATTTTCTAGTAGTAATGATATTTCATGATACCTTGTAAATGTTAAATTAAAATACTGATTATGTTCTCAATGAAAGGAAGACATTTTTGTATTCGTTTTAAAATGAAAATGAATACGATTAGTTCCAGGGAGCGTTGTGGCCTAGTTAGATAACGGCTTACTTTGTAATTTGTTTTGTAATTTCATACTAATTGTTCTTGTATAAGCAACAATAAACGTTACATTTTTCATTCATATAAGTAATCAATTCTTTCATTTATTTCGTATATAGCCTATATTTTCCCTGAAATATTGGTTTCTAATATATATCTATAAATAAGGAGATTTTGTACATGTATGAAAACCAATGTTTACGTATTTAGATCAGATGATTACATGGCATTTTTCATATCAGATGTATTATCAGCCCAAGAGCCGAAGGCTCGAGGGCTGATAAAACATCTGATATGAAAAATTACATGTTATGATCTTTTTATCATATGCTTCAACAATGGAGAAAAAATTATATATTGATCCTTTTAAGTGGTTCTCAAGTAGAAGTTCAAAAAGTGAAAAGTTATACATCCGATATGAAATCTTTCTTTCATATGCCTCAACAGAGGGGAAAACAACAGTATAATATATTTTTATATTGACGATAAAAAACAATTCAACAAAACATAATGAACACTGTTTGGAAAAGTCAACATTTGTAAAGTTACTCTCTTAATTATGCCGGAAACTTTGAAAAAATGCATTTATTGTATCATTGGTTTGTTTTGTTTTTTGTTTTTTTTTTGCATTTTACATAATATATTTTGCTGTTTCCTATAATAATTGTTTTGTACCCTACTTTGTTATGTTTTTCACTGAAAACGTACTATTGAGGTGTATTTTCTGGAATCGACCGAGTAACGCCGGAATGCTTAAGAAATGATTCTTTCATGCCATGCTTTATGCTCATTTTAACATGCTAACGCTCGGTATAAAGATATTGACAAATATAATGCCTATCCCATGTTAAGATTAGAATAAAGCATGGCATGATAGAATTATTTCGATTCTGATAGGAATATTAAGAACTTTTGTACTTCGAAGCGGAACTATAATACACATCCAAATGGCAGTCATTTTGATTTGATGAACCAAAAACGTTATAGAAAATAAACAGTTGAACGATAAAAAAAATAATATATAAACGTAAACTTACTTTTATAATGATTTTATTTAATTTCCTAGCGAGCAACACCGACAAAACTATCTATTTCGACCTCCGGCGTTGTTCAAAATACAACTGACGTTGCAATTTCAATTATGACGTCAATCACGTGCAGCCCATATTTTATTGTAATTAGAACATGGCTTTGTTTCCAAAGCGAAAGAAGGACAGCATATCAGAACATGCGATAACGTTACGGATAGGCATGTGATAATAGCTAGAAGCGTAATAAATTTTTCATATCAGCCCGCTAAGCACCAATTCGGAAAATACGGAATTCACGTAAATTTAATGCTTTTATCAAACTGTAAAAATTATAAGTTATTTACTCTAAGTATATGATAATCCATAACTATGGAACGCCACAGCTGTCTTATGTGGTACTCTGATATTACGTTATGTTGTTTTATTATTACTTGATGTTATTTTGTCTTTACATAATATGGTTTTGACATTACATAATGATGTTTTGATATAACTCAATATGGAATAGTCATTATCCGTTGTAAGAGAAAACCACAATCGTTCGATTGCTCCTTAAAAACACTTCAAGATGAAGAACAGCAATAAAGTAGCTGTTCCTTACATAAATTGATATTCTATCCCCCGCCCCTTTTCCATTACCAATAGAACATTATGCATTCGCCTACAACGATGAACCATTTGTTTTCGCGCACTTTGCGTACATAACCTTCGTTAATGCTGATTATATCAGCAGAAAGCTGTAAAGTACAATAAACTAAATGAAACCCTCTTAAAGTTTAAGTAACTGGAAATGTTAAAGAAAAAATACATGAAGTAATCATGCATAAACAACTGATAATTTCATTAAATAATTGATTGTTTTGTAAAATTGATATATATATATAAGGAGAAAGGTGAAATCTGTTTGTTGCTAATACTTATCAGAAGACAAGACGTCTGAAAGATTACCGACCGACTACTATATCAAAGTATTATTTAGTGATATGTTTACAATTTAGAAGACTATTTCGTGTTTCAAATACTAGACATGCTTTGATGGAGTTTTTAATCATGTATCTCAATCTTGCATTCATTCAACGAATATTTTTCTATAAGCTTTTTCATATAACAATTTAATCAACATCAAAAGAGAAGGTTTCGATGAAGAATTTTGATTAATGAATGTTGATTATAGAAATTGTACACTTACCTATCACTATATTGACTACGATTATGGATAGTCTACGTTCTTATTTATTCAATAATGTTTTACCATTAAATTATGAGCCTTCAAACAACTCTATCAACCAATACACCGTTGTGATGATAAACAGATGTACATTATAAATGAAGGAACAATGGTATATGTTTAATTGGAACTAAACCAATAACAAATAGTCATTCAATAGTAATTGACGCTGATAGTACTACTACAGGAATAATGTTTTAATTCAGCTATGTCCGAATCAACACTATACGATTCAATAGGTCAATAAACCAGTGGCCTGGAGGTTGAATATTTCTAACTTCATTGAATCCATTGTACAGTAACCGTAGTTTGCAAAATCGTTGAATAAATCATTTGCTGCCCATTCCTGGGTATCAGAGCGTAGTCCGGGTTTTTGAGGGATTCGTATACGCATTGCACAACTTTTATGTATCTCTATAATGTTATATAAGAAATTTGTTTTGCATGCACACGTATAAAAATTGCGGTTTTTATCCAACGCAATCATAGGTTTGAACGTTGTTTTCAATTTAGACTTGTTTATATATATAGTAGTATATTCAACTTAAAAAAAAATTGACTTTTATTTCTTATTAATTTTTGTTAAGAAACTACATGCTTATTGAGATTTAAGACAATTTTATATATTTAGTGAAAGTAGCAAAAAATGGCTTATTTGTATACTAGTATTTATTATTTATAAATCCTCAATATTGGTTATACGTTCATATGACAGCAAGCCAACTACTCAAGTAAACAATGACACCTATAGAGATCAAGATAAAGTCTTTGCCAATAGGTAGATGTTATGCAATATGTAACGCTCCAACTCTCCCCGACTTCAAGATGAATAGAAAAAAATAAAAACGGTATCAAAGACCTGTCATTAAAAAATTGCAACGGGGTTATACCAATTTTTATAAAACCGCAATTAACCCTCCAACCTTTTATTTCTCAATCTGTTGACTAGTATTTAGATAGCATTCAAGAAGAATAACAGAATTTTTCTAACAAAGTAAGAAAAAAGTTAAGATTTGAATTATTGAAAAAGATGACTGTTAATAAGCTAATAATATTGCATTTTCTCATATTCTGTGTTTGCTTTCCACGGATCAGGGAATGCACCTTTTCTTATTCAATTCTAAAATCTTTCGTGGGCTCAACAAATGGAAAAAAGATAAATCTACATTTCGATAACATCTTTAGTCATGCGAAAAATTACGCCTTCATCGCATTTTTCAGTTTTCAATTGTTCAGTATTATATTTTTTAATTTCTCTTTTTATTTTGTATTTTTACAATCGCATTGACCTAAGCTGACCACTTGACTGGTTAATTCCTGTTGGAGTCGTTGAACAACGTTTTCCAACTGTTCACGATATTTTCGCTCATCCATAAGTAATTTCAGAAGCGTTATGAAATGACTTTCAGAAATTACATTTTCTGCTTGCGG